TGTGATTTAGGGATGGAACTGAGCGCTATTTTGTATTTTTGAGTCTATTTAAATGCTAAACAGTTTCAAAGGTAAACTCTTTATGAGTTGAGAGATATCATAATTTTATCATGGGCTGGTCATGTTCTATTCTGCAATAAATTGAAAGATTGTATTCCTCGTAATGGAAGCCTTTTAGGGCACATTCAAAAGTATCATAGTATGTCATGAGTATAGTTTATAACAAGTAAAACTTCAGAGAGAGATAATACAAGGTTGTTATGATATGGCACTCTATGTAAAGAAGTATTCAATCTGTGAATTGCATACTATAGAAGAAACACAATGCATGTGAAAATATCTTGGTTTTTTTGTAATGAATGGATATATAGAGAGACTTAGTGGCAGCATGGAAACTCTAAAGATCAGCGGCAAAATTAAATTTGTGATCTTTGGAATGATGGGATGAAGAAGAATATTTTTTTATGTGTATGGGAGAATTAAAAAGCCGAAGTGGTCAATGCTTCATCAACATTTAAAAAGATGATGACCAAGTGTTTCTTCATCAGTTGTGTGCTCTTCCAAGTTAATAAAAGTTCGTTAGCAAGTAAAATCAAAGAATAAAAAAAGCTTAGGTACCACACTACATAATTTAGATGTATGAAATCTATCTCACATTACATGGTAAGGTCATATAGAGAAAGATGATTCAATTTTTTGTTTTTTACATCTTTGACTATGTTTTGATTGTTTGTTTATGAATATGTATGGAGTGTATGGATATTAGGAAATAAGTGCCAACAAGTTTGAAAAAACTATTTTTTAAATACCCTGTGTTTTAGTACCTCATTGTGCTTGTAAGAACTACTTAAGGTAGTGATACACATGGAGATGTGGTTTGATCAAGGACTATGAGCCTAAGTATGAAACACAAGAGATGGATGTGGCTCATTCAAATATGTAAGCACGAAGGGAGTGTTCCGATGGAACGCGGTATTTGTGACCATCCTCCCAATAATGTTCAGCAATCTGATGTATTGCATGTGATGCCGATCTCATGATAAAGTCTCCATATTTGCCAATAAGAAGTGTTTTGTTAGGTCTTGGTAACCATTATTTAGTCATCCTTTATTTTGGATAAAATTGTAAGATGGACTTTATTATTTGTTTTGTAGCTATAAACATGACAATAAAAGCGATTTATGAAGACTAAACATGTATTTAAATTTAAATTGGATCATTTATAAAAAAACTTAAGTCTATGGATATGGTTTTGAAAAAACCTCAGAGTCTTGTGAGGTCCACTAAGTATTTAAGAACAATCATTTTAAACCACTATGTTATTTTCTAATTATTTAAAAAAGTATATCAAGTCAAGAGTATTTTATATAAGGAAAAATATTGGGTCTTGAAAGTATTTTTTACACATGTGAAAATGTGTTATTAATCTATGCACTGTTTTCAAATACCCACATGTCTTGAATCATATTTTGATAGTATTGATTATGTGACCTAATTTTGAGTTCTTTAGAGTCCTCGATTATCTAAGGCCTTGAATCATAGGGTATGTCAAAGGATGGTCATCTTGCTAGGTCTGCTTGAAGTGTACTATGTGGGTTAGATAACTTGGTTTGTATAGGTATACTACTAAGAAAACTAGCGTGGCTGAACCTTTGTACTGCAGGAAGGTTTGGCATATTGTGACGCTAAACGGGCGTTGAGTTACTAGAGACTTGCTATACTAGCTCATGACATATGCATATGAATAGTTAGATAATATTTCTTACGTGTTATGTTTGAGTAGGTGTTGTTAACAATCCCACGATTATCTTTAGGTACTTGAATATTCAGATATATAAGTATCATATTATGAAAGATCCAGATGAACTTAATATTCTAGTGGGAGCACCTGCTTGTGTTTGACGATCCAATTGGAACAACATACTGCTGTTCACCCATGGAACTCGGATGTGTAACGCAAGTTGTATGGCTACAAAAGGGAGCAGCTTGTTTGAAGAACTGCTTTAAGCCCTTGAAGATACAACCCCATGCGAAGAGGGTACGTGATAATCTTCTGCGACAACATGTAATGTTCGGGATGAGATCCGAGCAGCAAAGAGAAAGAGGTGTTACCTCCATAAATCCTTTGTGAAAGGATTGATGGCAAAATCCATGATTAATGTAATAAGAGAGAATAAGAGAAAAATGATTGAGAGATAGATTGTAATTGGGGGGAAGACAATGTGAGAATGAGAGATTATAAAGCCTCCAAAGGCCAAGTGGGATATGTTAGATTTATATGGCCTTTCAAGGCCTTATGAGAGCTTGTGTGAACATTTTATATAGTGAATTTTGAAAATTTATAGACTTGTAGGGTCAAAAGGTATCTATAATTTTTCCCTTGACCCCACAAGTCTCTCTAGATCGACAATCATGATTTGTCATACGAATTATGACAAACTCTAAGGCATAAAAAATCTATAAAAGGAGGCTCTCTCACCTCATAAATTTCTACACCTTTTCTCTCTTCTCTCATTAAGAATTATCTCTCTCTCTCTCTCTCTCTCTCTCTCTCAAGTCTCTAGAGGGGGATGCCCCAACATAGGAAGTTATCTAAGTCCAATAATTCTAAAAGGGGCACACTCCAACCTAGGGCTTCATCTCTCTTCCTAGGTTTCAAGAGGGGGACACACCCCAACCTAGACTACTCTCTTTCAATTCCCAAGAGGGCATGCCCAAACTATCTTCTCTTTATCTCTCCAATGGGTTCGAAGGGGCACTACTTAGCTTGGGATTGGTTCTTGATTTTTGGATAGCAAAGGGGAGCATCCCCTTGCTAGTAGATCTTTCCCTCTCTCTTTGATTTCTATCTCTCATCTCTCTCAAAAGATCAAGCCAAGAAACTTGTAGAAGACTAAGGCAGTGAGGCTTTAGGTAGTTGGTTCTATATCAAGATCCATATGCCATTGACAGGGTTTGTCAAAAGTAGAAGAATTAAGAGACTGATCATAGATCTCGAGCACCATCAAAAGGAGGAGACTTGACATGGGTTGTACTAAGTTCGGTTGAGGTAATCTCTAATAATTTTAAATATTTAAATTTCTTTATTGTGTTGAGTTCTTCTATTCACATAAAGCATTGAGTTAAGATTTTGATTTAAGGAATTGTATTCAATTGTGGTAGCTAGTGAGAACCGTATTTCTTTTCTTTTATTTATTAGTTTCAAGAGTTATTTGTTTGTAATTGGACATTGTGCATCCAACTTTCACCTTGTAGGGTCAAGGGGTATCTATAATTTTCCCTTTAAATTTGAAAATTACAGCCCAGTTTTGCTCCTCTATTTTTACCAAAGAGGAGCAGATTAACTTTGGGTCTATATATCGGACTACCAACATGGCAAGTTAGAGAGAGAGAGAGAGTTTGGGCATCAATGAAAGATGGTGGTTTGGGAATCGAAAGATTGAAGCTAATAAATATTAGTCTCATGACTAAATGGTGTGTCGTTCTCATTGCTGTTCTCATTCCCAATAGAAAGGTTTATGGTGTGAAGTTCTCAAAGCAAAATATGGGATGGATATGTTAGGTTGTCTGATTAAAAGTCCAAGATCTAGGGTTCTCATTCCCAATAGAAAGGCATATGGTGTGAAGTTCTCAGAGCAAAATATGGGATGGATATGTTAAGATGGTGTGAAGTTCTCAGAGCAAAATATGGGATCGATATGTTAAGTTGTCTGATTAATAGCTCAAGATCTAGGCCTTCGCTTTCTGGTATTTGGTGGCATAGTCTATTGTAGGCCTATTTACTTGAGCCGACCTATTTTGGTTGGACAAATGATTGGGCAACACTCCCCTTCACTATTCCTTCCCTGAATTGTTCCCCAAAGCCCTCAACCCTCTGGCCTCTGTGAAGGATTTGAGTGAAGCTTTTTCTATTAACTATGTGTGGTCTATTTCTATAAAGACGAATTTATTATTTTAGAGCTGATCCATGTGGACTTTTTAGTAAAATCTACTAGCAAATTTCTTTATAAGGAGAGACGAAGAATCATTGACCCAAGCTTAGCAGCAATATGGCACCTCAGAGTCCCTTTGAAGGTTCAATTATTTATCTGGGTATCAAGCCAAAAGAAGTTACCGACTATGGATAATCTAAGAAAGAGAGGCTTCATCTTACCAAATGTTCGTCAACTATGCTAAAGGGATAATGAATCTGTGGACCATATCCTTTTTCATTTCTCTTTTTCACAGGAGATTTGGAGTTGGTGCAGACAACTAACCAAATTACGGATCGTTATTCCTCAATCAATGAGGGCTGTGCTTCGATAATGGATGAACCCAGAATTAAAAAGGTGGGGACAATGTAATGGAAAGCTCTTTGGGTATTTGTGATGTGGAATATTTGGAAGGAGTGTAGCAGAAGTGTTTGGAAAACAAACATCCTTGCTATGACGGCTGATTGGCTTTCCACAAATAAGGATTGCACCTTCATTATTAGAAATCAGATTATTCAAAATCATGTAAATCTTCATAATCGATCCTCTAGTAGAGAAGCAACATGGATTCCACAACCACAGGATGCCTCAAAACACAATTTTGATGGCATCTACTTCTGGAATCCCGGTCCTGCTGGTTTTCGTGAAGTTATTCACGATAACAGAGGGAACATTTTATTGACAATAAATAAAGCAGAGACTATCGGAAGGATTGCAATTATTTGCAGTGCATGGGCTAAAAGAGAGATGAAGCCGCCATGGAGATTGACATCCCTGCTTGATGAAATTTTTCATTTTTTATCTCGTGGCTCCTTTGAGCTTTCGAAGCAGATTGCCATGCTAAGGCTCGTGCACATCAATCTTCTTTGGTGGTCACATCCTTCTCTTCATTGTACTCCGAATATGTAACTTATCGGGTTAATGATTTCCATGGTTAATAAAATTAACGAAAAAACGATTTATTTCTCTTGGCGAGTAGAAAACCTGCGATTCAATAAAATGCAAAAAACAAAAAGCCACCTTTTTTCTGAATATTGAATTATTTATCCACTATCGAATTCCATCTTTCATAGTCGATAACAAAAAGCCACCTTTTTTCTGAATATTGAATTATTTATCCACTATCGATTTCCATCTTTCATAGTTGATTTTGAGTCTTAATACCGGCCTAGAGTTAAACCCATTTCCCCCTATTTCCACTACGCCCAAGAAAGACGTAAAACAAAAGAGCATGGAAAAGTTGATAACAACCAACCAAAAAAACTAAACGGCAGACCCGAAAAGGAAACCGAAATTGGTCTTCTCGCTCTATATTACGTTGTTTTAGCACTTCACTTCACTAACTAAAAATAAAAATATATTCTTTTCAGCCCTGAAAGAGGGCAAGCTTTCGACTTAACTAAAAACACCCCCATCTTCATGTATGGTCTCTAAACATGGCCTCCACCCTCGAGAATGACCTCTGTTTGAGCCGTCCTCCATGTTCCTCAAACTGGAAATCACATCAGCAACTGAAATACTCTTAGCCAAGAGCTCTTGGAGCTGCTGCTTCGTTATAACCACCTTAAGTCTAACCACGCCACCACTTTCTCTCTCTAAACCTTGCTCTTCGGTCGAAGCAGGTTCTTCAACCGTTTTGTTGGGCATGAGGTAATAGGGTTGTCCAGGTTTTAGCCGATAGTCTTTAGAGAGAGAATCCGAAGAAATCCCTGAAGTATACAGCGCCTGACCTTCGAAAGTGGTTAGGACTTGTTCAACGACAAGGGGAGCTCTGTATTCAAGGATCTTACCATCTGTTTTGGCGATTCTCACTATGTTTTCCTCCTCTGCCTCCAGCATGAGGGGTCTCGTGGCTTGAGGTACAAGCACACAGTTACCCATCGCAGGTTTGTGTTCTAGAGAGAAGAAAGGTTTTAGAGAGAGAGAGGCACTTGAAATTTAAGATTCAGAGGCGGAGGGTTAGTGTTTTAAAGAGAGTGAAGAAGGAAGCCCATGTTTCAAAGAGAGACGAGATGAAAAGGCCATGGATTTTTAACTTTTTATGAAGAGGGGCGGTGGTAAGAAAGGCGTGGATGATTTTTTTCAACACGCGTGATTGAGGTGTCGGTTAGTGGATTGGGTGGCGTCGATAGCGAGGGAAAACTTCTCGTGGGATTTTCTTTTTTGTTTTTTCTGGTTTTGCTTTTTTATGGGAGGTCTCAGTGGGGTTTTCTTTTTTGTTTTTTCTGGTTTTGCTTTTTGATGGGAGGTCTCAGCTTTCCCGTGGGGTTACTATGTGCGTGATGACGTTTAGACACGTTTATTTTGGAACCGGTTCACGGATGTATTGTTGGGTCGGGACCATTCCCCTAATCTCTCAACTCTCAACTCTTCTTCTTGCAACTTTCTGGGCAGGTCTGATGAAATTAAAAACCCTTTCTCACCGGGCCTTGAATGAAGAGAGAGATTCAATAATGTGTTTTCAAGAAATTCTAATAGACTACAATGTGATCTAAAACCCAATGTTCTAGATGGAAAATCACTATTGGGAGAAAGTATCGGTCCCAGGCTGGTTCTCATATAAAACTCATCGTTTTTTTATATATATATATATATATATATATATAGAAATCTTATAAATGACTAAAGATGAATTTTTACAGCGTTTCGCTTCCATCACGGACATGTTATATCGGTGACGGTTTTGCCTACAAGTTGTCACGGATCTACGAGAGCCATGATTGTCCTGGCATATTTTTTACGTCAATTTACATAAAAAAAATCTCGTCACTGACATACTATATCCGTGACCGACAGCTACGGGCATGCTATGTTGGTGACAGTTTTTAATTTATGCAATCTGATTTTTTCGAACAGCGCCGAGCTTGTGGGTGAAAATACTGTTCATTTGCCATAGGCGTTTTGTAATCTCTTTGTATTTTTGTACTCTTTTGTTTTTAATATTTACTTGGATTGCTTATTTGGAAGCTACCGGATTGACCATTCGACGATCTAACTCGGATATGTGGGGAAGATCCACCCATCAATTCGGGTCTTGAAAAAATTCAATATACCATTACTAATGTACAGAAGTACCTCTTAACAGTGATACGACGGGATAATTCCACCCTTTTTCAATCAAGTTTAAATTAGTTGGTCTTTCTCAACTCGATACTTGACCGAGCCGTGTAACTCGGACGAATCCAAATTGACTCTCTCGACTCCTGCGAAGTTAATTCACTCTCTCGACTCCTGCGAAGTTTCTAAACATACCTAAGAGACAGAAAGCATTTGCTTTGGGCATGTTCCAAGTGATAGAGAGAGCTTTGGTCAGGTGTCTCTTTCTTGTCCTGTCTTATGGTCGTTCTCTCTCTTGACCGGTCCCTTGGTACTGTCTCTCTCCTTTGGTCCTGTCTCTCAATCTCTCATGCATCACACTCTCTCAGCATAGTGCTTATACTGGGCATATTTGTTTGCCTACTATAGCACCTGGGTGGGGTAATTGGCAACTGGCCTCGGCAATAGGCCAACACCATCGAGTTGATTTGGTCCAGTTACGCTCAAAAAATAAAAATAAAAATACATGCTGTCAAGCATCATTCAATTTCCATTTACAGTTAAAACTTTGATATAGTGTTCTTTGTTTTGCGAAGAAATATGCTTCATAGTTGGCCTTCTACACCTATGAACGAAGATGATAATCCGTCCAATTCATAAATGAATAATTTCATTTAGCAGTGATATTAACCTCCATGGTATATTTTGTTCTCCTCTACATCACAACACTTGTCCATGACTGCTCTATCAGCTTTAAAAACTGTAAAATTACCGAACTTCAGTGCCATTAGCAATGATATTCCTTGTATGTTGTGAATGTGTGATTTTGGTTGATCCTCGGATCACCCACCTAAATTGGGCTTGGGTCAAGATGGTAGTAGCTGGGTTTTCATAAGGCTCCGTCTCGAATTTCATTCCTGTGTAACCTTGTCAAAAATAAACAAAATGGACCACCCACACCTGCTATTCAAGGATTGCGACTAGACTTATCATCGAAGTTTCGGTTGATAAATACACTAGGTGGGGTACATTGAACGACTCTTCTTTGTTCCCCTGGATTTCTTTTAGAAATAATAACATTCTTATCATCTTTGTTCATTTTTTGTGAATTGGCTGAAATTTCAATTAGAATGAATGTTGCGCAATCCGATAATTTCAAAATCTATTATAATGTTTATGTTTCTATTTTTCACGTTGAAAACTAATTAGATCGTACAACCCGTCAATGAAATGTCTCATATATAACGTTCGAATATTTTTTTCCTACAAAATTCTTATTACCCGTTTAAAATTTTGATATTTCAATACATGTTTCCTATTATACCATATTTATCACTTTTTAATTATAAATTTTCCTTATTTATATTTTACTAATTTATGCATGGTCCGAACATATTGATTTCCTTTTAAGAAGTCCTCGTTATTACTTATTTAAAGGGTTATGTTAGGGTGCTCACATTATATAGTTTTACTTTGCATTTTAGAGTTTTACTTTGCAAATTTTAGACATTTAGATACTCGTATTTTATAATAAAATATTCTTTTAGTAAAGGTATTTTTGGTCATTAGGAGGGGTTTGATATAATTCACATTAAGTGTGACATCACTTATATAGAGCATTAAATGCTATTAATGTACTCCATGTGGGTGATGTCACACCCCTCCTAATGACAAAAAATACCTCTACTAAAAAAATACTCAATATACAAAACAAAGGTATATAAAAATTCAAAATTTGTTCAGTACAATTATAAAATGCTTTATAGTGTGAGCACCCTAATATAACCCTTCTAGATAATATTATATATGTTTAAGTAGTTAATGCCAACGCAGAAAAAGAGGTTTAGAATTTTAAAAAAGACACTAGAGAAGAGTCCTACTTTCCATAATTAAATACTTTCATTATGAGAGAAAATTTAGGAATTTGTGGAGTTTATTTATTTACTTTTTTTTCTTTTCTTTTTTTTTGCGTTAAATCAATAAAGATTTGCGCTGTTGTAGAGAAAAGTATTGAATTTACTTAGATACAAATTGATAATAGAATTCATGAAGAGAGTTTATAAAGGATTGGAACCTTATTCCTTCTCTTAAAAGGAAATTTTATAAAAATTAAAGGGAAAAAGAGTTACTCATTCACTTATAAATTTTTAACATGATTGGAGAAAAGTTTATGTTGACCGCGATAAGGATTTAATATAATGGACTCTAGGCTGTCTTACCCATTGAACTTAGAGAAAACCAGTACGTCATGACTTGCCCGAGTCCACTCGGATTGGAGCATAGGGCAAGCCCGGGTTTCCCCGATTTGTACAACTCGGGGTTATAAAAGTTTTTTATAAATTCTAAAAAAAAATTAAAAATATTAGATTGTTTTATAATATTTTTGTATATGATTTGCATGCATTTGGCAAAGTTTGATAACTATGTTTTGCTCCATTTGTATGTTTTCAACGTTTTTTTGGAATTTTTTAAATGCCCAGAACTGGAAATCACTCTTTTTTAAATCTATTTTCCTGTACATTTTTAAGCTTGTTTTAACTTTACGAAGCAGTTGTAAGTTTCGATATAGGGTGCGATTTGTATAGAGGCTCTAAACAATCAAATTAGAGCCTATCTTCAAATAGTGTCAAGAAATGTGGTTTGAATACCTAAATATATGTGATAGCCTTAAAATATATGTTTATCATTATTTATAAAGTTTAAAGCCTAAAAATAGTGTAGATCGACCGATCTATGAAAATTTGAAAATCTTGAAAATTGATAGTCTAAAAATGCATTATAAAATATACTATTTCCAAAACTTGAAATCCATTTTTTTCTCATGTCCATGCATCTTGATGTCAAGATGATCAAGTTGAGGATATTTGGGCATCAAAACAACATCTTCTAGTGAAATTTTTTAGGTACGCTCAAATTTGAGCCTCAGCTCTATATAAATTTTTCCCTTCAATATATTTTTACTGCAAGTTTTGGAATGATGTAAATCAGTAAGGGCCTATTTGGATGATGTAAATTAATCATGATAATGAATAATCTGTTGTTTGGTGACGCCCATCGTAAAGTTGTATGACACAATTTTATAAGCATTTTTATGTAGAAGTTTGTCTTTGAAATATTGTGTCATACTTTATTCAAAATAATTGGCTCAAAATCACATATTTTTAGTCAGAGTTAGTGAAAAATAGATGGATATCACTAGAAAATTTAAATAATTACATAATAGTATATATAATATAAGATATGCGCCAAACAAGCAACAAAATAATATTATACAAGGTTTAATTAATTTAAATAATAAAGTTTACTCTTGATAAAATTAATTTATATCCAAAGTGATCTAATATTGAGTTTGAGACACATATTCATGTACCTCACATGCCAATTATTTCACTTGGCTAGTGCATCTTGAGTAAAAATAAAGTTCCACCTTAGCCTAAGAGATAATGCCTTGGAGGCTAGGGCATCTTGAGGGCAACTTGAGTTAAAATAAAGTTCGACCTTAGCCTAGGAGATATTGCCTTGGAAGCTAGGGCTAAGATGCTAGGATGCTCATCATTAGGGCTAAGATGCTAGGATGCTCATCATTCTTTTGCCTATTTGTTTCTTAACATGCAAAGTTTGCTCCCACCTCTGAAGGATGGTGCCTTTCATGACTCTCCAGGACGAAGTAAAGAACTGTACTTAAGCTTTGCTTGCTCCAGGGTCCTTGACATTTCATATATGTATTTGTGACACCACCACATCGGACGTGCATTGCAAGGCACTTCAAATTAACCAGATTCCGTTTAAGTCACCCCAAATTCGTTATTTTAATGATGCCTTCATTTTAAGGAAAAAAGCTTTTATATGGTTGAAAATCTTATAATATAGAATGTTCCCAAGATGAAAAACATTCTAACTTATCAGTTTGACTGTGAGATGTGAAAAAATAAAATTTCATGATTTAAAATTAATATATTTTGTAATAAAATATTTGGATT